TGTTTTCGTGTGGCTATGAATGCAGCAGTGCAGTGATACAGCGTTTCGAGTTTGATTTTGCAGTTGTCGGTCGACTGTCGGCATTGCATTCTTGACATGATAGACACTTGGTAGTACCAGCTGCCTTTGATCAAATGCTCCAAAGAAAAAAGGAGCGAGGGCCGTGATTTGGAAGGGTCGCGTCCTAGTTGCACTAGGTTATGAGCCCAACGTGGCCACTTCGCAATGTCGGTGATGCAGCATAGGCGCCGCAAGGCCACTGCTGAAGAGCTCGCCCAAGGTGAGCGAGACATGAAAGAAGCACAAAAGAGAATGGAACGTGAAGCTGAAGCTTTAGGCGAGCTGCCTCTGGAGGATGGAGTGGTAGATGAAAAGGGAAATGGAAAAGCTGGGAAGGGCAAGAAATCGAAGAAAGCTGTCCTCAGACCCCGTCTACAGCTGCCGTGCCTTCATCAGGTGAAAGCCACACTAAGGTTTCGCTGCCTTCGAACACTTCGACTGAGGTGGACTCGAGATCACCAGATGCACCTCGGCCTGAAGGACCGCCGAGATCGATTGGACCTGCGACCAAGGGAACGCAGGAACTCATGATGCCAGATGAAAAGCGTCCTGGGATGAAGCCAAAGCTCCCTAGCCTCGATGAGGCCGTGGGTTCTGTCGAGGGTGAAGTGGAAGTTGAAGAGGAAAGGTTTGGAGATGCACCAGGGATGGTGGCTACAGTGCATTCAATAGCCACACCACCATGCTCGAAGATGGAAGGAGCTCCAGGACCAGACCTGGGGTGAAACGTGAAAGTGTTTTGGAACCCCGCCATGAAAGAAGTGGGGATGATGAATGAAGCGACAAGTTCATTTTTTTGATGATGGAAAACAAGAAGTTGAAGGAACATGTATAAGTGAGCGTGCTCCACAAAACCCAAGAAGGAGAGCTGCGTAGCCAAAGAATGAAGCAGCTCTGGGAAGAGAACTTGAAGTTGCGAGCTGACCTGCAGAAGGCCCTGGCAGGCTTGAAGGAACAAGAAGCTTTGTTTGCGATGCCCAATGGTAGTTTAAACCAAGATCCGCCTTCAGGTCGACCACGTGAAGGAAAAGATGAGAAGTCAAAGACCTTGGACGCTGAACAAGGCGGGCTGGGGGTCGACGAAGAAGAGTTCACTGATGCCACAGGGCGTGGGAGAAGTGGAAAAGGAAAGGGGAATAAGAAAAAAAGAAGATTCCCAAGAAGGTGATGGGGTGACGCAACAAACCCTGTCCGTGATCTTGAAGTTGATGGAAGGGATGCGAAAGATCCAAGATCGAATGTCCAAGGGATCAAGCCATGATCCAGACCAAGAGCCTGAAACGGTAAGGCAAAGTGTGGACCTGCCGAAGCTTCCTGAATGGCAGGGTGAGTCAGCACCAATCGATTTTTCGGATTGGTTAGTTGTTTTGGCTTCATTGATGGCCGACCTGACCCCTACATCTGAGGAGCGGTGGTCATTGACTTTGGAAGAAGCACGTAGCTGGTACCAAAAGCATTTGTTGAAGTCACCGCTCGATCGCCTCACTCACCAGATTGCACCAAGTGCCAAGCTGACCTTGAGGAAATGGGCACGCCTGGAAAAGCGGGCAGCAGCACTGCTCTTGTCCGCAGTGCCAGAGTCACTACGAGAAGAAGTGGTGTCCTCCAGGAGTCTGTCCACCTTCGGCATTCTGGTGAAGGGCATGATTGCCTATCAGCCCGGTAGCCTTTCTGAGCGGCAGGCCATTCTTGGTCACGACCTTGCGCAAATGGCTGAGGTGGAAAAGGCGGGTTGAGGAGGTGGGTGTGTCCGTACCCGATCCCACGATCCTAGCGCGTGGATTGGGGAAGATGATGAAGAAGCTGGTTTCCATGCACGCGGGACTCCATTTTCGCCTCCAGCTCATCCGAAGTACCTTGATGGTCGATGCTGTTCCGACACATGACTCCGCGTCGAAGTACAGTGAGCATTTGTTAGCCGAACTTGAACAAATGGGCCATCAATCAAGAAAGAGGGACACTGTCCCTGAAGTTCCGAAGTTGAAGAAGTTTGAAGAACCCAGCAGGGATTCCAAAGAGGTGAAAGAAAGAAGGGAAGGTGAAGAAAAAAGGGCAAATGTCGCTTCTACCTCACGGACCAGGGTTGCCGTCGTGGAAAGTCTTGCGCCTTCTCACAGGACCAGAAAGATGAACGAAAGCGTTGCTGGATCTGTGGCTGCCCGGATCATTCGCTCCGAACTGCACCAGGCCCAAAGACCAAAAAGAAGGAGGAAAGCCGAAGATGGCTAAGGTTGAAAAAGAGAAGAATGGAAGGGCAAAGGGGGAGAGTGATGAAGGCGAAGACAGCCAGCCTTCGATCAAAGACCTCCTCAAAGAAGCCAATGAAATGCTCAAAGGAATGGGTGGAAGCTCAACACCGTCTTCATCCGGCACTTCGCCAACAACCAAGGGTGGGGGTTCGCCGGAGAGGTCAGAAGTGGTTGAAAGACTTCAACAGCAGCTCAATGCACTGAGGCAAAAGACGTTTCGCCAGTGTCGACTGAAGAAGGGCGAAAAGAAAGGGCTGCTGGATTCGGGGGCAACTCATGCCTTGCTTCCCAGTAAGAAAGGAGAAGACAAGTCGCTATACCAGCGAGTCCATGGTAGCATTGGCTGATGGACAAGTAACCAAGCTGCCGAGCTCACCACGAGGTGTCATGGTGTCCGATGAAGCGGACATTGAGCCGAATGGGGCTGCTGACTGAGTCGCTGGGGTGCTCCATCCAGTGGTCGAAGGGGGAGTTGAGAGTAACATACCCTACCCGAGGACTGCTCCCTGTGGATGACTATGACGGTTGCCCTCAAGTGCCTCGGAATTTGGCCTTGGAGTTGATCGAGGAACTCGAACAATCAAGAAGGGCATGAAGTTCAAAGAACATGAAAAGTTTGAAAGTGAAACACAATGGACGCATGATTTGGTCAGGACTCATCCAGTGTTGTCTCGGCTGCCCAAGCATGTTCAAGAAAGTTTGGTTGTCCCCCCCAGGAGATTGGAGTGATCTTCCCGCAAATCGCCGAATGCGCAAGGCATATAGTATAATAGGCGAGATGGTTTCACTTGCCGCCTGTTCGCTGGGCCCAACAAAGGATTCACCCTGAAGCGTGCGTGGGCGCAAGTGGGGGGGCTCTGACAACGAGCTTTTGGAGGTGGTGATGCCCGCAATATGCTGGATGACAAAGGGCCGTGTATTCCGGCTTGATGAGGGCCGCGTGGGAGAACAAGCTGCGCGGGCTGATCGGTGGACCAAACTGCCGTACAAGGAGTGTGATGCGACACCAGGCCGTTGAATGGGGGGGGAACCAAGAAGAGTTTGGGGTGGCTGATGCAACTCCAGAGGAGTGGAAGAAACTCAAAGAAGA